GAAGAAAGACTGCAGGAGGAACTGAGGAGATGGAGAGGCATGTTATCCTTTTTTAAAAAATATGTATCTATTGATTTCAGAGGGGAAGGGAGAGGGAGAGATAGAAACACCACTGATAAGAATCATGGATCAGCTGCTTCCTGCATGCCCCACACTGTGGATCAAGCTCACAACTGAAGCATGTGCCCTTGACCGGAATCAAACCTGGGACCCTTCAGTCCCCAGGCCAATGCTCTATCCACTGAACCAAACCGGCTAGGGCAGTGGTCGGCAAACTGCGGCTCGCGAGCCACATGCGGCTCTTTGGCCCCTTGAGTGTGGCTCTTCCACAAAATACCGGCTTCTGCACATGATCCACAAAGTTTCAATCGCACTGTACGTGTGCGCCCGCACGTGGTATTTTGTGGAAGAGCCACACTCAAGGGGCCAAAGAGCCGCATGTGGCTTGCGAGCCGCGGTTTGCCGACCATGGGTAGGGTGAGGCATGTTTTCCTTGAGATGCCTATTCATCCTCCAAGTGAAGATTTCAAAGCGGGCAGTTGGTTACATAGATTCGAGTCGAGGGGAATGGACGGTGCTGGAGATACATACTGAGAGTCATAACCATTCCAATGGTATTTAAGGCCCCAAGACTGGAGACTGGATGAGGTCATAGAGGAGTGAGAAGAGGCGGGAAAGAGATCCAAGACTTAACCCTGAGTTAGTGCCCCATGCAACAGACTAAGAACAGCTGGAAAAGTAGACAGAAAACAGTCAAGTGTGGTGTGTTTTTTTTTTGGAAGCCTGCACGTATTTCAGAGGGTGCAGTGATTGGTTATGTCAAACTTGATAGAACAAGTAATTTATGGACTGAAAAATGACTATAGGATTTAGCAATGAGGAAGTCACTTGTGACCTTGGAATCGTGTGGATTAACTGCAATGGCTTCAAGAAAGAATGAGAGAAATGTATTTGTTAATTCACCTACTCACTAAAATGTATAGGTAAATTCAAAACCAATACTCACAGTGCTTTCCTTGGCCTTCGGCAGACATGTGCAGCCTGGCCAAAAATGTGAGTTGCATGCAGCACATGGTTCCCAAATGAGACAGAACAAAGCAACCATCTTATTTCAACTATTGCACTGGTCTGTTTCAAGCTGTATTGTTAATATTTTTGGGGTTTTGCTGTTTAAATGGCCCTCGAGTATGGTCTAGTGTTCCTAAGCACAAGGAGGCTACAATGTGCCTTATGTAGGAAACACTTGGTAGATAAGCTTCTATAGGCAGGAGCTCCAATGCTGTTGGTCATGAGTTCAACTCATGAATCAAACAATATACAGTGAGTTATCTTTAAACAGATACACACATAAAGCAAGATTATATATTGATGGGGGGGGGGGCGGGGGAAGTCACAAAAATGGAACGACCAGAGTCTGGCAAAAACCTAACCTTGTATTTCCCCTGGGAACAGTGGTTCCGACTTGCTAAGTCAGTGTTTGCTATGACCTAAAAGAACATAACTCTACTGAAGAAGGAGAATCAATTCTAACAGAAATATTTTCAAACATCTCTTTTTAAAACGATGTCAGAAAGACAGGTACTTACTCCGCTAGTACTTGAATTACCTTTACCATGCAAGTCCCAATTTTTTTTAAAAAACCATCTGCTGGGACATATTTCTCACTTGAAAAACGTCAGCCTATTTGGGACAGGTATCTTTGTGCAAAAGGAAGTATGTATTAGAGCACATCAACTTCAAGACAGCAGTTCTCTCTGGTCAAGGAAAGGCAGAGGAGACTGTTGCCTTCACTTGTATCTAGCATTTCTCTAAAATAGAAATAAGGCATATGATCTTACACTTGAGCAATGGGTAGATGACTTATTATCCTATTCTTTTTGTAATATTTAAAATGTAACTGTAACTTAATCATATTAAATCACACTCTTGTAATATTTGACTATTGGCTAAAGTGCCACCGTCAACCGATGGACAGCTCCCGATGAGCTGGCGATGTCACTGACCACATGGGAAGGTCAGGGACACGCTGTTACAGTTTACAGCAAACAGCTGGATGGCTGTAGGGCAGCCTCACCCCCTCCAAAACGACACATTGCAATCAGGCTCAAGTATTAAATTACAGCCAGAAAGTACTGGTCCCGTTTGGGTTGGGGGTGGTTTCTAGGGCTGAGACCAGACCTGTGCCGGCCGCTCACTCACAGGCTGGGGATGGTGAGCATGTCTGACCTCCGGCTGGACCGAGCGCCTCCAACCAGGCTGGGGACCGTCTGGCCGGCCGGCCATAAAAGGCCCACAGAATCATGTGGTCCCGGCCTGCCAAGGCATTAGGGGTGAGTTAATTAAACGTTTGACCAAATATAGCAGGCTAAGTTGATAATTTTGCATGTCAAGGGAACGATGTTATAAATATCCAAAAGGGCCCTGGGAGAAGGAGGGTTCCCCACCCCTGCCGGAACTAGGAGCGTGCAGCAGAACTGGATTCGGCAGCACCGGAAACGGCAACTCCCACTTGGGGCTCTGCAGACGGAGTTGAGGCTGCCTTCCAGGAAGCCAAAAAAAAAAAGGGAGAAAGAGAAAAAGGAGGG